GCAGTGGATAGTGCGATCTGGAGCTCGCGGTTGAGGTCCAACAGTGCCCACTGAACTCTGGAGCTCGCTGCTGGGAGCTAAAATCTAGAAACCCTCACCTGGCAGGTGGGGAAAGAAGCCAATAAGCAAAAGGCAATACGTTCAAGACACTGCAAGCCCTTCAAGCACCAGTGATGCAAGCGCTACGCCTCTTTTCAAACGCACAAGGTCTGTGCACTCCAAGTCCTTGACTATACAACTTGACCAGATCCTATGGACCTGCACAAACGCCTCCCTGCGATGTCACTTGAGCACCACAAACCGCTCAAGCTTTGCCAGCGCAGTGAACGAATCACTTCATCGCCTTCATTGCTTTCATGGCCTTCATCGCTTTCATTGCCTTCATGGCTTTCATCGCAGGTGCCTCCTCCTCAACAGCCTTCTTCATCGACTTCATTGCTTTCATTGTTTTCATTGCCTTCATCGCCTTCATTGCCTTCATCGCCTTCATCGCCTTCATGGCCTTCATGGGAGCCATTTTGGTAAGTGCGAACTGTTGAGAGCGGGAGCGAGGAGTTTTGGAGAGGCTTGGGCCATGAAAACAAAAAACATGTGACTTCGGTTGAAATGTGACATCTCCGCTGTGACCTTAATGACTTCGTCAGTGGTGGCTGAAAGCTCTTGCTTGCAATGGAAAAAGTATGATGTAGATTTCGACATGCACCATCCCCTGTGCTTCCACTTAGGGAACCGAAACCAATTCACAGTGACTCAGCCACACAGCAGTCAGTACATTCCAGCTGTCAGGTGTTTGCTGTGTTTTTGCAATTGCTTGTTAGTTATCAATCTAAAATGATTAGCGTCTTTTATTCGAGCGATCTCCACCCTGAAAAATCATTTTGTCATTTTTTGCGTATCATCTGGAAGGTCATGTGGTATTGTCTGATATTCTTTCCTTCTTTTCTGGTATTCTATCTGGCATTCTATCTGACATTCTATTCTGGCATTCTATTCTGCATCTATTCTGACATCCTATCTGGCATCCATTCTGGTATCTATTCTGAAATTTCTCTGGCATTCTTTCTGACATTCTATCTGGCATCTGTTCTGACATTTTTTCTGGCATTCTATCTGACATTCTTTTCTGGCATTCTATCTGGCATCTATTCTGACATTCTCTCTGGCATGTGTTGAGGTCCGGCACTGCATTCTGAGATCTGGGGCTTGGGGTTCGGGTCAGGCAGTGCCCACTGAGATCTGGAGTTCACGGTTGACGTCCGGCAGTGCCCACCCACTGAAATCTGGAGCTTGCGGTTGAGGTTCGGCAATGCCCACTGAGATCCGGAGCTCGCGGTTCAGGTCTGGCAGTGGATACTGAGATCTGGAGCCCCCGGTTGAGGTCCAACAGTGCCCACTGAAATCTGGAGCTCGCTGCTGGGAGATAAAATCTAGAAACCCTCACCTGGCAGGTGGGGAAAAAAGGTCAGTAAGCAAAAGGCAATATATTCAAGACACTGCAAGCCCTTCAAGCACCAGTGATGCAAGCGCTACGCCTCTTTTCAAACGCACAAGGTCTGTGCACTCCAAGTCCTTGACTATACAACTTGACCAGATCCTATGGACCTGCACAAACGCCTCCCTGCGATGTCACTTGAGCACCACAAACCGCTCAAGCTTTGCCAGCGCAGTGAACGAATCACTTCATCGCCTTCATCGCTTTCATTGCCTTCATGGCTTTCATCGCAGGTGCCTCCTCCTCAACGGCCTTCTTCATCGACTTCATTGCTTTCATTGCTTTCATTGCCTTCATCGCCTTCATGGCCTTCATTGCCTTCATCGCCTTCATCGCCTTCATGGCCTTCATGGGAGCCATTTTGGGAAGTGCGAACTGTTGAGAGCGGGAGCGAGGACTTTTGGAGAGGCTTGAGCCATGAAAACAAAAGACATGTGACTTCGGTTGCAATGTGACATCTCCGTTGTGCCCTTAATGACTTCGTCAGTGGTGGCTGATAGCTTTTGCTTGCAATGGAGAAAGTATGATGTGAACTTCAACATGCACCATCCCCTGTGCTTCCACACAGTGACTCAGTCACACAGCTGTCAGTACATTCCAGCTGTCAGGTGTCTGTTGTTTCTTTTGCCATTGTTTGCTATCAACTAAAAATGATTCAAAATCGCCTACAAGCAAAAGGAAATACATTCAAGACACTGCCAAGCCCTTCAAGCACCAGTGATGCAAGCGCTACGCCTCTTTTCAAACGCACAAGGTCTGTGCACTCCAAGTCCTTGACTATACAACTTGACCAGATCCTATGGACCTGCACAAACGCCTCCCTGCGACGTCACTTGAGCACCACAAACCGCTCAAGCTTTGCCAGCGCAGTGAACGAATCACTTCATCGCCTTCATTGCTTTCATGGCCTTCATCGCTTTCATTGCCTTCATGGCTTTCATCGCAGGTGCCTCCTCCTCAACGGCCTTCTTCATCGACTTCATTGCTTTCATTGCTTTCATTGCCTTCATGGCCTTCATCGCCTTCATCGCCTTCATGGCCTTCATGGCCTTCATGGGAGCCATTTTGGGAAGTGCGAACTGTTGAGAGCGGGAGCGAGGACTTTTGGAGAGGCTTGAGCCATGAAAACAAAAGGCATGTGACTTCGGTTGAAATGTGACATCTCCGTTGTGCCCTTAATGACTTGTCAGTGGTGGCTGATAGCTCTTGTTGCAATGGAAAAAGTATGATGTGGAATTCAACATGCACCATCCCCTGCGCTTCCACGCAGGGAACCGAAATCAATTCACAGTGGCTCAGTCGCACAGCTGTCAGTACATTCCAGCTGTCAGGTGTTTGCTGTTTCTTTTGCAATATTTTGCTATCAACAATTGCTATGAACAAAAAATGATTCAATATCGCCTACAAGCAAAAGGAAATACATTCAAGACACTGCAAAGCCCTTCAAGCACCAGTGATGCAAGCACCAAACCTTTCAAGCGCACAAGGTCTGTGCACTCCAAGTCCTTGACTATACAACTTGACCAGATCCTATGGACCTGCACAAACGCCTCCCTGCGACGTCACTTGAGCACCACAAACCGCTCAAGCTTTGCCAGCGCAGTGAACGAATCACTTCATCGCCTTCATTGCTTTCATGGCCTTCATCGCTTTCATTGCCTTCATGGCTTTCATCGCAGGTGCCTCCTCCTCAACGGCCTTCTTCATCGACTTCATTGCTTTCATTGTTTTCATTGCCTTCATCGCCTTCATTGCCTTCATCGCCTTCATCGCCTTCATGGCCTTCATGGGAGCCATTTTGGTAAGTGCGAACTGTTGAGAGCGGGAGCGAGGACTTTTGGAGAGGCTTGAGCCATGAAAACAAAAGACATGTGACTTCGGTTGAAATGTGACATCTCCGTTGTGCCCTTAATGACTTGTCAGTGGTGGCTGATAGCTCTTGTTGCAATGGAAAAAGTATGATGTGGAATTCAACATGCACCATCCACGCAGGAAACCGAAATCAATTCACAGTGACTCAGTCACAGGGCTGTCACTACATTCCAGCCGTCAGGTGTTTGTTGTTTCTTTTGCAAGTGCTTGCTATCAATCTAAAATGATTAGCGTCTTTTATTCGAGCGATCTCCACCCTGAAAAATCATTTTGTCATTTTTTGCGTATCATCTGGAAGTATATGTGGTATTGGTTGATATGCTTTCCTTCTTTTCTGGTATTCTATGTGGCATTCTATCTGACATTCTATTCTGGCATTCTATTCTGACATCCTATCTGGCATCCGTTCTGGTATCTATTCTGAAATTTCTCTGGCATTCTTTCTGACATTCTATCTGGCATCTGTTCTGACATTCTTTCTGGCATTTATTCTGGCATTCTATCTGACATTCTTTTCTGGCATTCTATCTGGCATCTATTCTGACATTCTCTGTGGCATGTGTTGAAGTCCGGCACTGCACACTGAGATCTGGGGCTTGGGGTTCGGGTCAGGCAATGCCCACTGAGATCTGGAGGTCACGGTTGACGTCTGGCAGTGCCCACCCAACGAGATCTGGAGCTTGCGTTTGAGGTCCGGCAGTGCCCACTGAGATCCGGAGCTCGCGGTTCAGGTCTGGCAGTGGGTAGTGAGATCTGAAGCTCGCGGTTGAGGTCCGGCAGTGCGCACTGAAATCTGGAGCTCGCTGTTGGGAGATAAAAATCTAGAAACCCTCACCTGGCAGGTGGAAAAAAGGCCAGTAAGCAAAAGGCAATGCATTCAAGACACTGCAAGCCCTTCAAGCACCAGTGATGCAAGCGCTACGCCTCTTTTCAAACGCACAAGGTCTGTGCACTCCAAGTCCTTGACTATACAACTTGACCAGATCCTATGGACCTGCACAAACGCCTCCCTGCGACGTCACTTGAGCACCACAAACCGCTCAAGCTTTGCCAGCGCAGTGAACGAATCACTTCATCGCCTTCATTGCCTTCATCGCCTTCATGGCCTTCATGGGAGCCATTTTGGGAAGTGCGAACTGTTGAGAGCGGGAGCGAGGAGCGCAAACTTGAGAGGCTGCGGAGTAGTCGCCGCTCTTGCATACAGTTTCTCCCGAGTCTGAGCGCACCCCTAATGTATCCGGACACAACATTGGTTAGCATTTCTCTGAAGCAAGCGATCGTACAGCGAAGGGTTGACCAAACCCTGTTGGACATGGAACATTAACAAACCTGGACCTGCAAACCTGCAACCAAAAACAATAATCCCAACTAGATGATCACAACAAACCCCCTTAAGATTCAACACTCCCAATTGTATGGTCTCAAATACATGTTTTCTATCCCCTACATCCCCCATACTGACTGGGGGTAATAGTATTGGTGAATTAGTCGTATACCATTGTATCCCCATTAACATCCCATTAAATCGCCATGTTTCACGGTTAAACTCCATCAAATCATCCTGTGTCATGGCTAAACTCCATCAAATCACCATGATCTCCCCATGAAGCCACGATTCTCCTCATGAATCCCCCACCTCCAGGCGCTGCACCGTCCGAGTTCGGCACAAAGCACCGACCTGGGTGGCCCCGGCCGTCAGGAGGTCTGAGACCTTGATAACACCTGGCGGTTTTTGTGGTGAAATCACCGGAATTCTGAAATTCCGCCTAATTTTTTGTGGGGAAATAATGGGTGATATTTAATGGTGAAATGTGGTTTTATGGAAAGACGGAATAACAATGGATACTGAATGGAATATTTAACAGGACTGGCCTTTCGGTAATCAAACATGGCTGGGAACCCCCCGAACTAGCCATGGAGGTTTATAGCTGGGAAAATCCTCCATAAACTTGTAGCGTTCAGTTGCCATGTTTGGTGACCCGAAGGTAATGATGAGTGGTTGGCGAAATGACATAAGGTTAATTTGGTTAACAAGTAATGTTAACGAGCAACATGGTTACTGATACCTGGCGGTTTTGGGGATTGGACATGTGGTTACTTTTAAGGTGGGAATGACTAAGTGTAAGCAATTGGGAATTTATTTTTGGAAATCATGTCCAAGGGTAATTGATTGGGAACTGCAAAAAAAATGTTTCGCTTACTAAATTGTGTAAGCAGGGATGACTCTCATGGTTGGTATGGAGAATACGTCGGATGGGGATTCCAAGCATTTTGGATTGTACATAGTTGACCTACTTGATGGTTGGAAACATGTGAATGGCATGGATGGCTGGTTCTAACATAATCGATGGCAATGATATTATCCACTATCGTTGATATGCGCTTCATGTTTACAAGGGGTTTTGAACAATCTTAACTCACAAAGGGTAATATAGGCGCCGAACAAATCATCAACCAACTTGTGTTTTTGAACCTGTTCACGTCATGTTATTTTGGATATGTTTGGATGTTTTGATCAGTTTCACTGACCCCCCAAGGACTTCGATCTCTGGTGTGAAGTCATTTCATCTGGGTACCCTGCTTTTCTCGTTGCAGCGCAGAACAAACAAGACATTGGGATATTTATACCTATTCCAGGGGCTTGAGTTTCACTCTGGGGGCTTGGGACTTGAGGGTGTGTTCGCTAGACGTCGCGTTTGCATCCGCAACCGTCCGCAACCAGGCGCAACCGTTCGAAACCGTTCATAACCGTTCGCGTGAGGTCGGTATGGTGGTGCCTCCGGTGAGTGCTGCAAAAGCGGTCGCTTTTGGAGGTTTCAAACGTGACGCGACCTTGTTTCGTGTGGCAAACGTGGCATTGCGTGACAGTCCAACATGTTTCATAACCTGTCGAAAGTCATTCTGTGTGACAGGCGCAATACTTTTGCGTCGTTTTCAAAAGATCAGTTCCATTTTTTCCTGGCAGGCGCAACACTTTGGAGACATCTGTGTTGATTTTGCGTGGCAGGCGCAGCACTTTACACGTGTGGTGTTGCGTGCTTTTTGCGACATTGTCAGGGCTGCGTCAAGCAGTGACAACGTGCAAATCGCGTGTGGCAAGTGTGGGACATTGTGAGAGTATCATTTTGCGTGGCAGCGGCAGTATTTGGTGCAGATCCGTTGTGTGTGCGTGTGTGGCAATCCACACTCTACACTTTACACTCCACACTCTACGCTTTCCACTTTACACTTGGCACTTCACACTCTACACTTTACACTCCACACTTTACACTCGACGCTTCACACTCCACACTTTACACTCCACACTCTACACTTTACACTGCTTTACACTTGATAATTGCACTTGACAGCCCACATTCGACACTCTACACTTTACACTTTACACTCCAGGCTCTACCCTTTACACTTTGCACTTCCCACTTTGCACTTGACACTCCACACTCTACACTTTACACTTGCCATTTGACACTCCGCACTCTACGCTTTACACTCTACACTCTTTACTTTAAACTTCACACTTTACACTTTACACTTCCCACTTTACCCTTGACACTCCACACTAATACACTTTAACTCCACACTCTACACTTTACACTCCGCGGTGACAACGTGCAAATTGCGTGGCAGGCGTGGGACATCGTGAGAGTTTACTTTAGGCTTTACACTCCACACTCCACACTCTACACTTTACACTCCACACTCCACACTCTACACTCTACACTTTACACTTTGCACTTCACACTTTACACTTTACACTTGACACTCCACACTCTACACTGCACGCTCCACACTTTACACTCGACACCTCACACTCCACACTCTACACTTTACACTCTACACATTGCACTTTACACTTCATACTTTTATACTTGGCACTCCACACTCCACACTTTACACTTTACGCTTCACACTCCAGACTCTACATTGTGCACTTTACATTTTACATTTCACACTTTACACTTGACACTCCACACTCTACACTTTACACTCCACACTCTACACTTTACACTCCACACTCTACACTTTACACTCCACACTCTACACTTTCCACTTTACACTTGACCCTCCACACTCTACACCTTACACTCCACACTTACACTTTACACTCGACGCTCCACAACCCCCACTTCACACCCCACACTCTGCACTCCACTCCATTCCACACTCCACAGTCTACACTGGTACGGTAACAGGGGAAGAATGTACAAAACTGTTGAAATAACTTGTTTCACAACCGTGTTTTACGTGACTGCATCTCTATGTGTTTCGACATCTGTACCATCAACATACGTGTGAGCATTCGGGTTCGTGGGCTGTATCTTGTTTGACAGCATGAGACATCCCATGTCTCAACATTTTGACAGTCATATCAACTTTGATCGTTCAGGTCGGAGGTCAAAATCATCCACCGCCCATCATGTTCCCCATGTCGTCACAGGCAATTTTGCTGAGCCTATACCCGATTTAAAAGACACAGCGTGTTGTTGGATATATATATATATATTAAATATATACATTGACAGTATCTTATATCCCAGGAACTATCCCCACTATATCCTTATGAAATCTACCCCAGATTTGCTGCGTCAAATCCCCCCATTTTCAGACTAACCCAAATATCAGGGTTATACATGGTTAGTGAAAGTTGGTGAAATGGTTCATCATATGCCCATAAAAGGGTCCGGAATTGTTTTCGGATTTGTTTGTACCGTTTTGGGTATTTTTTTATCTGCTGTTCTGTCCGTTTTCCTTGCAATTTGCAGCATTTTGGAGCTAGAAGCTGCCATTTCAACGGTATTGCAACATTTTGGAGTTCGAACCTCTCATTTCCCATGATTTTTGCAACAGTTTGGGCTCAAACTATTCATGTTGGAGGGTATTTTGCGACTAGGGGCCATTTAGGCTTTGTTTAGGTTTGTTTTAGGGTTTATTTAGGATTGGTTTAGGGTTGGTTTAGTTTTCTTAATGGTTGGTTTTGTTTTTTTTTAAGGTTGGTTTTAGGGTTGGTTTGGGGCTTATTTAGGGTTGGTTTAGGATCTATGTAGGGTTGGTTTAGGGTTTCTTTAGGCGTGGTTTAAGATTTATGTAGGATCTCTTTAAGGTTGGTTTAGGTTTTAGTTGGGGTTGGTTCAGGGTTTATTGGGTTCGGTTAGGATCTATTTGGGGTGGGTTTAGGAATTATTTAGGGCTGGTTTTGAGTCTATTTCGAGGTTTGTTTAGGGGTTACTTAGGGTTGCTTTTTTTGGGGGTTGTTAGTTTGGGCTTTTTAAGGGTTGGTTTAGGGCTTGTTTGGGGTAAGCTTCAGACTTTTTATATAGTGTTTTTAAAGGGTCTACTTAGGGTTGGTTTAGGGTGTATGTATATTATGCATATTGGGGTTTATTTGGGCTTGAGAAGCACAAAAGCAGAAAACAGCAGAGAAGCAGAACAGTGGAGAAGCAAAGAAGCAAAGAAGCATAAAGGTAGGAGCAGGGAAAAGCAGAAAGCAGAACTCCGACAAAAATGCTTCATTCACTCCAACATGTAAGAACGGTATACAGTTCTATCAGTTATATCAGTCATATCAGTTATCTCCAATAATTGAATGTTTTACACCAAAACTCCCACGGCACCTGTGATTTCCTCACAGGCCACCTCGATGGGCCACTGCACATCCTCCAAACTCGGGAAGACAGCCACCAGGTCCTGCCAACGGAGCATGGCTGGTGATTTTTGGGGGGAACCCAACTCTAGCATTGGAAGCAGCTTCAGCAATTTCTTGGACTTGGAGGCTGAAGAGCAATTTGGGTGTTTCTTGGGGGTGAAATAGCAAGAATGGTAAAGTATAGTGCACAAAAAACAATCAAGGAGGGATTCAACCAGCCAAAATGGTGGATTTGAATTAAGCAAACAGAGGTTATAACCAGTGATGGACTATTTGTGTGTGGCCACCCTGGGTATATAGGAACTATATGGGAAAATATTGGAACTATAAACAAATATGTTGGAACCAAAAGCAAGAAATGCAGGAACTTGAAAAAACTGGGTTGTGCTGAAAGAATTGCACTTAGGTTCAGCCTTTTAAGTTGGCACAAACACTTACAGAGATGTGGGCATTCATACCCCAAACCCCAGGATCAATGATGATGTTGGAACCAAAATCATAGAATTATAAATAGCCGGTTTATGTTCTAAACTATAACTAGGTAGCTTTTTCAAAAGATATGATATAAAGTATGTATATACTTGTATACACATATAATGATGTGTTGTATTGGTATAAAATACAGATGTAACAATTTTATGTATGTATATATATATACATATTCTAATGCAAAATATAAATACATATAGATATAGATATTGATATATTTAGGCCAAAACAATGCAAGAATCCAGTTTTGCGGGAACGGTCGTGACGGTTCCCGACTGTAATCTTGAATACAGCGTGGAACGGTTGCGACGGTTCCTACACTATATCTTTTTCGCAGTTTCCAGGAACGGTTCCGAACGGTCGCAGACGGTTCCGGACTATATCCGTTTTTTAAGGGCTATCGCATGGAACGGTCGCGACGGTTTCCGACTGTAATCTTGATTATGGCATGGAACGGTCGCGACGGTTTCTGCCTTGTAGCACGGAACGGTCCTGACCCCTAAATCATATGTTTGTTTCTCGTTTTATCTATGATCCAAATATTTTTTCAAAACATATTAGTTTCAAATTTTCAGCTAAAAGCTACAAGTTGTAAGTTTTTCGTGTACGGCGTGCTTGAAAAATTGTTTTGATATATGCGTTGGCGGGCCGCATAATATAGTACTTACCATAATTCAGTGGTATAGCCAAAATAGTATAGCCCACAACAACCTACCCAAAATTCCTTTAAGAATATGGGTGGGATGGAAATCATCAGCAACATGAACAAATCTGCAAGTTGGTTCCTGCCAGTGATGAAAGAAATGCATCATCGAAGTTCTTGGTGTAGCTGTGGGGAGTCACCCGGAAAAAACAGCACAGGGAAGGAGGGCCCCGTGAATTGAATCAACGTGCACCTTGATTCCAAAAACCAGGCAAATTCCAAATCTGGTTTTCCATGCCCAAACGGCTTCTGTATCCCTGGATCTCTTCAAAGCTCTTCCGGCTCAATTTGTGGCCCCGTAAAGCCACATGTCAACCATACCCCTCCAATGCCCAAAAATGGAACCGTAGAAACCGTCAGAAACCGTCGCGACCGTTCCTGGGGTCTGAAAATTGCAAAAAATTGGCTAGAAACTATACGGAAAATTTCAGGAACTATATGGAAAATCTCAGGAACTATATGGAAAACTTCAGGAACTGTATGGAGAATCTCACGGGCTATATTGGAATGCACTAACTGCCTGGCAAATATCAATCTTCAAATTCGCATGCCCTCTGAACATCTTCAACTACACCCCACTTTGATCTAAACATCACTTTCCAGCACATGGGGTACGCCAGTTCTGTGGTTGGGGGTGAGCAAAAACAGCCCCATGCCGACTCTGAAAGCTAGAAAAATTTTGATCCACATCACCACATCACCACATCACCACACCGTCGTCGTCATCATCATCAGCAGCAGCATCATCAGCATCATCAGCATCATCAGCATCATCAGCATCATCAGCATCATCATCATCATCATCGTTCTCATTCTCACCCTCATCCTCATCCTCTCCTCATGGTCATCATCGTCATCCTTGCTCATGGCTCTTCCTCACATGTCACATAGATCACAGGTCGTAACAAACCGTGCAGCAATCATGTCAGTCGCGAATGGTCAAAAGTTAATAACCGAGGTATCTTCACAATTCAGGCGGGTACAGTCCAGTTCAATTTTGGATGAAATGTTGCTTGTCATTGTGCGTTGTATGTATTCGTCAATGCTTTCCGTACCCCATTCTGCCAGCGAGGCCGTGTCGTATCACAATTTGTGTGTGATTTGTTAGGTTATTTCATCCAACTTATTATGTAAAATTCAGAATTTGCAGTTGGTTTGATACGTGGTGGTTTTGAAAAGGAAAAATAGTTCCGATTCAGATTTCAAACCTATGACTTGTCAAAGGTGTCAGGTTATCAAATTGAAAAACCGTTTGGTATGATAGTAACAGTAATAACATGTTTTTAAACAAAAATATTGCTACAATGATTATAGTATATCTATCAGTTTTTGAGTAATATAGTAGAGTGTACAACCGCGCATGCTCGGCCATTCAGAAGCGCAGAAGCCAGGAACATGTATCTAGCCATGTGGCGGTATGCAATATTCAGATGTAGGAAAGCATTCCCAAGTATCATGCACATATCATGTGCAGCTTCCGATGCATAAGTTAAGTCTCAATCACAGTCACAGCTCATAGTCGTCCCAAATCCAAAATAGTTCCTGAAGAACTCAATATGGTTTCTGAAGAATTCAATATAGTTTCCAAGATCCAATTTGGATACGTCACAAACCCCTCGTTAAATAGGCCAACCCTGGTTATAAAACAGAGGTTATAAAATCAGACATACAATAAGGATATCTCATGGTAAAAAAATCTTCACCGACAATGTGATACCAGGGGTTGGCCCAAAATTGCCGTTCCCCCATTCCAGTGGACGCAAGCCTCATTTTCCTTATCAAAATATTGCCATAGTTTAAGTCATATGGCTATGGATCAATACCTATTAATACCATTTTTAGGGGGATGAACATCCATTTACCAGCTATTTTCATGTTCACCAGGGGTACCAGGGTTTTGACACACTGCCATATAATATAGCATCAGCCCTGTGAAAAACTCTTCAGGCACCTTGTTCGCCGAGACAGCCTCTGCTGCCACGCAAATGGCCAATTGGTAGTACTCCACCGTCATCACCTTCCTGCCCAGCGCAAGGCCGCTGGGGCATTGGATGGCATTGGGCAGGGGATGGCAGGGGGAAAATGCCCAAAAACCATCAAAAACCTCAAAAATCTCTCGCCAATCCATGCACAGCAATTCCATACACCCTGCTGCTCCAAATTTCGGAGCATCTGGACCATTGAGCCGATCCTGGCGCACTGCTTCAAGGTGTAGAAGCCGGGGCTATCCGCCACCTTAGACATGACCCCCTTGCTGGTTGAATTCACATGGCAACGAAAAACAGATGCTATTTTCCGAGCTATTTTCAGGTACACAAGCGACAAAAATCACAAATCATCCAAAGGAAACTGAATCGATCTGGGACCGCCCAAAACCACCGCCGAAAACGTTCTCAGGGTTCTCTGCAAAAAATGCGCGAAAAGTGACAAAGTCATGGAAGTCTCAACACTCTCAACACCAAATGTATCCAAATGTCATTTAGGGCATGAAGTTGGGGAGATTTCACGGGTGCAAAAAAATTGGACAGAATGCCAGTCAGTCAAGATTCCTGCTGGCATCCAGAATTCCGTTGTTGGATTTGGTCGGGAAACAAATACTGTAGGAAATAGTTCATAGAGGTGTCCAAAAAAGTAAGTTCCTTCATCATCTTCATCCAGTTCTGAGAAATACCATAAAATCCACAAAACTACCATATAAAATCCACAAAAATACCGTATAAAATCCATATAAATACCATTTTTCCGTCCAAAAAACCTCCCCCCATGATTTTGGTTGTCTTTTTTCCATGTTCGTCAGGGCACCAGGGTGTCTCCCAGGTTCAACATCGCCATACACAGGTCCACCTTCCAGTGGTAAAAAAGGAACTTGAGATGAGGTGTAAAACCATTAAAAAAAAAGATGTTAGATCCAGTAGATAGAAAGTTATACACCATCAGATACCATGAGATACCAGTATGATATATTATCTGTGAAGATATCTTTAGGAGAAACAGGGTAAAGTATCAAAAATGAACTTTCGCCAGTGAAAAAAGTGGATGGGCCACCAATATTGCTTGGCCCAACGACAAATGAACCTGCTCTTTTAAGGATAAACCTTTCCAACTTTGGGTACCCACGTGTGATGCATACTCATGTTACCCACCCGGATTGATGCATATGATGTGTGACACATATACAGATGTTTCTAAAATTCTGCAATACCCACCCATACCATCCATACCCAATGAATATCAACTAAAGAAAACGTGCCTTTGCTTCCCCCAAATCATGTCTCTGAACCCTTCAGCCATGTCACTGCAAAAGTGAAAAATGCCCAGCCTCCTCGTCATCCAACACCGGTGGATAATGATGCGGTGGATCCTGAATGCCGGGCCGCTAGCCTTGAGACCTCCCACCGATGAACCTGGAATCTCTTCGGCAATCTTGATGGTTTGGCTCGGCACTACTTTGGGATTGCCAAATTCAACTCGTATCCCAAATGAAAATGTGATTTCCTGAGACAGATTGTCCGTTTTTTGGGGGTGAAAATCAGAATATGAACTTTGGGTAAGGCCCGAGAGGTTCCTAGGAAATTCTGCTCAAAATGTTCCCATTCACCACCTGGCCTCTTCTGGGAACAGAGGATCCACAGCAGTTGTAAGAGGGCTGAAGCCTGAACCATTCCGGCAAGCCATTTTAGTCAGGGCTGTACATGTCACACGGACTGTCATGTTTCAAACGAAACCCGGCCTCCATCCGTCGACGGGCCTTGAAAGCCAGACAACAAATGTATGAAGCTGCAGTTGAAGGTTCATGAAGGTTCCAAACACGAAGATCTCACACAAATTGTCCAGATCTTGTTGGCATGTTGCTTCTGTATCTGTGCCCAGACCGCGACTGTACATATCCATTTTGACTCCTCTAAACCACTTCTTGTCACGAATTGTCGTTTGATTTCGAGAAACACTGATTCGTTTGTGGCATAGCCAACCTAGTCCACCAAAATATGCATTCAGAAGTCATGCTCTGCTAACTTGGGCTTATATACTTATAGCTTCCCAATTGCAAGTGGCGTAGGTTTGGGTCAAAAACTCTTTACTCCGCGTAAGTTGCTGGGCATTCCTGACATTCCTGAACTGTTTCATTCATACCATCATGTGGTGTTTACCCAATCATGAACCATCCCCGAGTCATCACCCATATGGGTATGGGTCAAAATTAGGTACCCCAATAATTGGATGGTTAATAAGTTAATACTAAACTAGACATTCACATCTGTGGTCCCACATCGGTCTTCCATTTTGACCCACATCCATATTTTATGGCTGGTTATGGCCTCCATCCCCGTGGGCCCCGTGGTCTGTAGACCTCGTGTCCAAAAGGTGGAAAGATTCCCGAGCCCATCACCGGCAGAGGCTTCCAGGTATCCACTGGAGCTGTGTAGGCCTTGGAGCACTGGGCAAGGCCAAAGCATGTGGATGAAGAAGTAATGATGGGAAACTAATTAACTGGTGAAATCTTTCTAAAGTTTTCCAAGATTCTCGATATTCTGGATTCTCGACATTCTGGATTCTCGACATCTAATGATATGTCTCTGGGTACATTATAAAATATCATAAATATGTCACTAACCTGAAAAGGTTGGCTATTTTGGGAGAGTTACCCCAATCCTGAACTCAGCATGCACCAATCCAAAGCCTTCAAGCATCATTCCAGTGAGCTCGCAGTGAGGTCGTTACTGTATCATTTTGCCCAGAATGCCTATATTTCATGACATTTCACACAATGTTTCACTCTTCTTTTCAGCATTTTTCAGCGTTGAACTTCACACCCAAAATGAAAGTGGGATTGCTCTAATGACTTGGATAATTTAAGGGGATCCCCATGACTTTGGATCCATATATGGTGGTTTCCTAAGTCATAGGGCTACCCCCAAATCATCCATTTTAGATTGAGATTTTCATGAAATAAAACCATCCAGCTATTGGGGTACCCCCATGGCTTTGGAAACTTCCATAGATCTATAGTGAGATGGGCGGCACCTCAGCCCCAGACGCAGCACCGCACGCACCTCGGGCCGGCTGAAGCGCTCGCTGCGGTCCTTCTTCAAGGCCTGGTAGACGTGGAACTGAGCTTTTTGCAGCGTCAAAAATGAAGGATTTAAGGATCTTAGGGATCTGATTAGTTCCTGAACTATCATGACTATCTAACCCTTGTTAATTTGAGGGATTTAGCGGCTTACCCATCTAAAATAGAGAAAATTAACTATCCCAAGTGGTGAAGATTTTTGTGGACTCAAGTGACTTAACTATAGGGATTCAACCAATGAATACTGGATATGGGTCCCATCAACGGAAAGATATCGGGGTCCAAAACAAAGCGTGAACAATGGGTTTTACCAGTTACACGTGGGTTTTCTTGTAAATGTATGTAAATGTCCCTTCATGCAACGCTAAGATAAGCGTTGGAAAGTTGGAAGCCTGGAAGCATTCTATGGGCAGGACCTTTGGTAGATGGCTGTCCTGTGAAAGGTGGAGATTTACAACCCAGCTATGTTCCAGTAGATCAAACTTAGGTTCCCCCCAAATTGCATGGTTTTTCGTAGTAAAAAGTCTTACAGTAAGTCTTGACTACACGGAACTATACATCCTATGGCAAGGGATAAATCGCAATCTCACCTTGTCGAGGATCCTTGCGATGGGTTTGGCAATGCAGTACAAAGAGAACAGCAAGAAGCGCACCACCGGCACAAACCTCAGTCCAACATCCCACATGGCAGACTTCGTTCGGAAATTTCTCGGAAACCCCAAAAATCAGGGACTTCAAAACATCTGCTGTCTGTAACGTGGTAAACTAACATAAACTAACACCCCTAAAAGGCTACGGCGCGGTTAGCGACCCGGGGTAATTCATTGATTTTTCATGATGCTTGGTTCACCAAATAATGGTATTTGCAATGTTTTGTAAAAACGTGATAAAAATGTCAAATCGTAGTTACTTTGGGGCCTACTACAAAAAGTGCGTTTCGTGTGAAACGTTCATCGATTTTCAATACCCCTGAAACGAATTATTGTTTTTTTTCGTTTTGTTGGAGAAAATTAGTTACATCTGACCACCAGTCATTGAGCAACACTTCTTTTTCAACTTACCTTGCAAGGTCTTCAGCGTCGACTCTTTTGGCCAGCTTTCCCAGTTCCTTCCACATGAACGTTAACATCCCCACCCCACCCCAACCCAGTGACGTGACGTCAGTTGTGCATGTGACGCAAGTTAACATGAACGTTAACATCCCCACCCCACCCCAACCCAGTGACGTGACGTCAGTTGTGCATGTGACGCAAGTTAACATGAACGTTAACATCCCCACCCCACCCCAACCCAGTGACGTGACGTCAGTTGTGCATGTGACGCAAGTTAACATGAACGTTAACATCCCCACCCCACCCCAACCCAGTGACGTGACGTCAGTTGTGCATGTGACGCAAGTTAACATGAACGTTAACATCCCCACCCCACCCCAACCCAGTGACGTGACGTCAGTTGTGCATGTGACGCAAGTTAACATGAACGTTAACATCCCCACCCCACCCCAACCCAGTGACGTGACGTCAGTTGTGCATGTGACGCAAGTTAACATGAACGTTAACATCCCCACCCCACCCCAACCCAGTGACGTGAACAGTTGTGCATGTGACGCAAGTTAACATGAACGTTAACATCCCCACCCCACCCCAACCCAGTGACGTTCTGCATGCATCAATTTCAAGAGCAACTTGCCTCCAATCAGCAAAAATGGCAAAAACGCAGGGGTCGTTAATGGCGCCGTAGGCATAAACTAACACCATGTTTTGGACCTCGTCCAAACCTTCAACCCATCCGCTGTCTGACTTGGGGTCCCCATAGGTCCCCCAGCCACGATGAGACGGTCAGCTGCCAAGGACCTGTAAAGACTGCCTGCCGGGACTCACCAAAAGGATGGCTTAAATTGCCATAAACTTACCATTTGGGGATGGTTTTGAGAAGCAATTTATGGCAAGATATTGCAAGTCATTGGGGATAGTGTATAATTTGTGTATAAAAATAGAGCTTACCGACATCATTTCAAGGAAATCCATCAGCTTAAGCCTGCCCCAAACCTCCAGCGATGTCCTGATGACCATGTCAATAGGGATCATGATGATTGACCAGTGGACTTTGGGTTTGTCTGCAAAATTCCTTCGGACCCAGTTCTCCGGTCTTCATTGGCATTCATTGGCTAGACCCCTTATTTTTTTGTGGGTAAATCCTGCAATGCTTAAGTCCGACATGGTTTATCATGTCTTTACAGATATATATATATATATACATATATATATAAGATGTTAAGTCTCTATGTTTTACAATTCTTAACCATGATTGATGGTTGAATCCCCTCCTTTATTTAGTGGAATCTCCCATTTTGGGGATTATGAACATCACATCTGTAGTATCCCCAAGCCAGTTGGGTGATGTGAAAAATGGTTGGACATTTACTAAGCGTCACTAATAACTATTGAACACTAAAAAAACATTGGTAATTAATTTACCAACCAACTATTGAACACCAAGTGTTCGTTTCATGTCCATTATATATATATACATATATATATATACATATACATATATACATATGTGTATATATATATATATATGTGGACCCATTTATAGTTGATTACATTGCCAATGTTGGTTGGCTATATCCCTTTTGTCCTGTTTGGTTGATAGGGATTCCCCTGATGGATTATGATAACCTTTATCCAGATGAGCCATTAAAAATACCACTATCCCCTACTCCATCTCATGAAATACTAGCTGGTTGCTAGGTTTTCCTACTATCTATGGCTAATCATAACCTCCAATAAATTGGACGGTCTTACTAGTCCCCAGAAAGATCAAAAAGTAAAATCCGACTAAAATAATGATCAGTTGTACTTTTCTACCTTTTTGGGGCTTACTATTTACTATAAATTCCCATGTTCTGCAGGCGATTTCTGGCCCAGACGTCCACCAAGCTGCTGAGGGTAAGATCTCCCCACAGACCAACACGAAGGTCACCTGGGTGGTGCATGGGTGGTGTAAACCCACGAATTCCATGGGAAAACCATGGGAAAACCATCGGATATGTCATAGGAAATCTGATATTTTTCAATGGTGATCCACATGGATCAATCAGCAAAAATGGGGACGGAATGGATTGGTTGAAGGAAAAAAAGTACGAAAACCAAGTGCACAGGAAAGGGATGATTTCTTAGGATGTTCTGCAACCTTTATCCAATTTTGAATGAGGCATTTAAGCCAGGTGTTCTCATATGAGCATCCATTCACCAGAAAGAATCCCAAACTTGCTCATTGCAACTTTAATATTGTGAGGCAACGCAGTGAAACTAACCTTTCAACTCCAAAGTCTTTCCAAGAAATATGTTTGCTCCCAGCGGATTGTAACCCCCTAGAGGCCCTAGACCAGCACAACTGGACCACTTTTGAATGATATCCCTCCTCTGTGGGTAACCCTCCCCCGTTTCGCACAGGATTGGGCTCCCCACGGACAGCAGCACGGCCAAGAGCGGGGACAACAAATCGTCCAGGAAGATGGGAAGCGCCTAGCGAAACGAAGGTCAGGTTTTGGAGGTTGAAATCCAGAGAAAAAAAATGCGTGAAAATAGATGACACATCATTGGCTCACAGCTTGGTATTTATAAATATATATATATACACAAATATACATATGTCTAACTGTTTTACCACTACTTGGCACTTCTTCATAGCTAAATATATATATATATCATATATATATATATCATATATATATATACATCATATATATATATATATCATATATATATATCATATATATATATATATCATATATATCATATGAATCATATATATCATATATATATTATATATATATTATATATATTAGTTCGCTGGGTAGAAGATGATGAACGCATGAAAATGGCCAACTCACCTCGTTGGCCATGGCGTTCAGCAACAGCAGCGTCACCAAGAGCAAGTGATGATCCTGGCCATGGCGTCTGTCTATCCCCACGAGTCGTACTGTTTGGTTCTTTATGGTTCTTCAAATGGCTTGTAGTCTTCCCCAGTTTTTATAGGTTATTTAAAAAACTGTGATCAGTTAGTAAATATATGTAAATATATCCCTGTACGAGTTTACCGGGTCAGGTTGGGGCCTGTGATTTTCTAGTAGAAAATGAATGTTGTATAAATTCGGGACCCAAGAAAATCTAGCTACAGACATCAAACCAATTTGAGGTATCCTAGAAAAATGGCAACTTACAAGAAATGCATTTTCGAAGCTATGTATAGCATTTTTTCCTTAGAAAAACATCACCCTGCTTGAAACGCATAGTTTTGAAATTACGATATCATTTTTTTTAAAAACCACTTCAGGGGAATGGTTCCCTTTTCTAGAGCCCAACATCCAACCCATCGAATTATTCGATTCTTTCGATAGAGCTTTTCGAAAACGCACATCTTCGCCCAGGATGGGACAGTTGCACCCAGATGCACCGAGATGCGGCAAGTGTTGCAAGCATGGACAGGAGAGACATGGGACTGGATTTTAAGCATCTCTAGAAACAAAACCAAATGACCTACCAGTGCCTCTCTAGAAAATCAGGGACCACTAGAAAGTCTATGACTCCCAGAGATGCTAAAATTATGCTTCTGGATTTTGGGCACCTAAACTACCCAGAAAATCAGGATCTTACGACTCAGAGGTCTCCAAAAGTTGTTCTGTAGAAAATTGGGGGAACTTGAAAGCATCATTTCAACAAATTCGAGCTTTTCGAACGGCAGAAAATCAACCCTTCTTACGGGGGTTAACCCCCCTGAAATCCTAGAGGAAACTCATACCGGTATGTAAATATTCCCCATTCTGGGTTGGTTAGTACATATTCCCATGATGGGTTAGTTCATAATCCCTAAACCAGTTGGTATCTGACCCCCAACCACCAAACCACATCAATCCAACCACCGTCCTTCAGCAAAGGTAGGATCTTCTTGGCGGCGTCTTTCTGGCGTTGCAGACGCTCCTTTTCCTGGCCCAAAATTAACGGGGGGAAAATTTTTAGTGTGTCTGAAAATGGGGACCCCATTTTATAGTTCCGTTAAATGGGCAAAGGAGGATAATAAATATAATAAACAATTGGATTTGGAGTGATTTTGAGGTACGGTATTTTCAGACAAACATATTCGAACGAATGATGCAACGGCGATCACCGAGGCGAAGCCGACGCGAACCCGCAAGCCCAGGGCCCACCTTGGCTGAAGTGCAGTAGTCCAAACGAGCGGCCTCAATGATCTCCAGCTCCACAGGCCTAGAAACTCGGGTCCTGGGGGGCCACCTTCAACCACCCCGAAATTCAGCGAAAAATGTGCAAAACTTGCAGTTTTGGAATTGAAATTCATGAGGTTGGAAAAATGTGCACTTTTGCTGATAAATCGATCGGTGGTTGGAGCAGTTGGACCAGCAAATGTGCATTTGTCCCCGGGTGAGAAAAAAGCAAACATCATATGGGTTTGTCTGGAAATATGCCCAAAATCCTATGGAAATTCGAAATTCTCCCTTTCTGAAAATCACAAAAAACAGTCAACAGAAAGGGGCCCATCCACCCAACTGTTCAGACAGACCCAACTATCATGATGTTTCGGGGATTCTATAGTGTATATCCCATTATGAATGGCTTGAAGATCAATAAATCCCATCCCCCCCAATATCAAACATCATATCAAGCATCCCCATATTCTATGGTGATGCCAAATGCATGTGATGAATCATCCCTACATCCGCCATGGTTTCTAGCAATTGCTGAAAATATTAGGGGTAAGGGGATCTGTTCAAGAGTTGGTTAGTTGTAAACGATGATACCCTATTCATATGCCATTAAATCACTCTTGTTCATGGGGTTTCACCCCATTAAACCCGTATGTTCATGTTTCATGTTTAAATCCCATTAAGTCGCCATTGTTCATGGTGAAACCCGCACGAAATCACCATCTTTGGTGTTGGCCAAGTTCGTTGCCAGCGAGTTACTCCAAGGACACCAAGCCCATAGTGAGCCCTGCGGCCAGAGCCGCCTGCAGCAGGATTAATGTTTATATAGATCATTTATGATGTATGATTACTTGTTGTAGGATTTGAGTATATAACTTTATAGATTATTTCTTTTAACGATTTCACTTTTAGGAACTGTTCAATATATTTTTTGATGGTTACTACTAGTAAATATACGTTTTGATATTTTGGGTGGTTATTATAAACTCTCTGGGTCCAATAGAGGGCACCTGATGGGTCTTTCTGAAGGAACTTAGTCTATGGCAGATTACGACCTGGCACTTTCCAAAGCCCACTACTAATTCGTTCTACTTTCGGTTGTTCATGATCTTCACTGAACGTGCAATAGACACCCATTAAAACACACAGCAAGGAAGAGGGGCTTGGTCCACTGCTCAGTCAGCCTATGGCCAAAAAGTATGTGTATGGGAAAATGTATATATTCTACAGATACATAAGTACATCATAATATAATCATATGTGCCAAATAACTCAATGACAAACAGCTCAGACACATCTGAAGGAGTAAGGCTTGCACCTTGCCCTCTTACCTTTCAATTCAATGGGGTTTGTGCATGTATATGTCAAACTCGGGCACCTGCGTGAAATCTATGTGGTAAATCCGTCACGAACTCCCTTTTGGGGGTCGGTTTTTACCCTCCAAGTGGTGAAATTTTGGTCAATGGAAGTGGGCTATGGTCTGGTTTGTCCTTGGGTTGACCTACCGTCTACTATGGTTTACCACATTACAACTTTACCATTGTCTTGGGGGTCACCACTGAGATGCCCGTGCCGTAAAGATGCACGCCGCCGCACCGGCCACCTCGCAACAGAAACACCAAGGAGTGTCGACAAAGAAGGTGGCAACCCTTCAGAACCCCAATTGGGTTTAATATGGTTTAATGATGTTTAATGTACTCTATGATTGGGTTTTCCCACATATTTTTTGATATCAACATATCAACGAAACTTCAAGCCGCATCGTGAATTCTGAATTGTGCCACTACTCAAAATCAAAAAAACACCCCAGCCGAGGGCCGCGCGTGGAAGAAGATTTTGATCCTCTCCTTTTCCGCCTTTCTCCTCTCCTTGCAGCAGATGGTTCGCTGAATCCAGTCGATCCAGCAAAGGAGAATCAAGTCAAAAAAAACGCTGATTTGACCATGGTTTTTACAGCTTCGTTGGTAGAAATAGGGGTTTCGCATATTGGATTCGTAGTCTACAATGCCCACTAAACCAGTTGGTATTGTATGACACCTTGTTAACCATCTAACAATAGTTGTGGGTTATTTTTATAGCTTTAAATCCTTCTTCTGCGTATTTTTCTTACTGAACATCCCGGGTTTTGTGATTCATGCCGAATTCATAACCATCAACTGATACACCACCAGATCTCCTCTAACGGGCTTAGACATCGTGGCACGGTGTGCCACCTGCCATAGGATGGACCTCAGTGCACCAGGAATTGTCAGGAACCTTTAACATGGAGGTACTGTACCATATAAAGCCATCTTTTCTTGGGGCATATCCCCTGCCCTTACATGGACCTTGCGTATGGTAGGTACCTCCAATTTAGGTTCCTGAAATGGCCGTTGAACAGTGCAAACATCAGGCGTTGTGTCTAATTTCCACGAAAATGGGATTGTCTATCCAACGACAATTCAACCAAGACAACTGAAAAAATCCATCAGTGAAAATTGGAATGTTTCATGTTTTACCAGATTGACCAGGAATGGCGACTTGTGGCTGTTTATCACGGCAACTAAAGTACTTATATATATATTATATATTATATCATAATATATATATATATATAATTATATATATACATATAACCATCGGGTTGTTGGGGTCAATAATTCTGAGCGGCAGCCACTTCATGTTTGGTGCCAGATGATACTACCTCAATGGGGGGGTTCAATGGGTACCCAAGACGTCCAATATGGTTTTCATTGGTTTTCCCATTAAGGCCCTACTAAGAATGACTAGACTGGACGAACTTGGATGATAGCGTGGAGTCTCCCATGGCTTAAGAACCACTTTTGTTTCAACGATGGTCGCAAGATCGGGTTGGGCACCTCCCAAAAAAAAGTCCTGGGTTTCCCTGACAGCTGATGGTCATGGCTTGCTCCGTGCCACCCCACCTGATGGTCATGGCAAGTTTAACGGGCCGCTGAAAGTCGGCGCCAACAGCGGTGTTTCAATCAGCATCTGAGAGACCGCGCACAAAGGCTCCTTCAGCACATTCCAGGGTGTATTCCTTGCAATCGCAGGTTGCTACCAGCACACGTCACAAGACGGTGAAAAGTGAAAATGCATCAAAATGGATACATGGGATCTTTATTGTTCGTTATGATGTTGTTTTCATGTTCAAGCAAGAGCATCAGTGTTTTAAAGGAAACAGCAAAGCATCAGGGCGCTGTTTACCCATAGACCAAGGTGAGTTCACAGCTACAGTGCACTCACCGCGAGTTCGACAAGAGGCGCCCCAAGTGGCTGAGTCAAAGCGAAACCGGCAATACAAATCTTCATAGTTTGTGACTTGGTTAAAATAATCCTGTAAATGAAAGATTGAGTTCAAGCAACTTTATGACGACAAATGATCAAAACATAGTTTGCCTTGGTTAATTTTCTGGTCGGTTTCATGTTATGATCACATTTACCCATCCCACAGTATCCCACAGTTCCGAGCTTTGCATCCCGGCCCCAAGGTAAGCATGGCTGCCGCTCCATTTGCCAAAGGGGTCCTTGCCAAGAAAGGACTGAGACTTGAACTTCTTCAAAAATGCCAATGTTTGACGTTGTGTTTGAACATTAAGTCATGATAATTCATGAAAGTGTTTCATGCAACGTGTTTCGCACGTTGGACCTCTAGGCCCTAGGATTGAAAAGTGCCAAATGCTGAGCAAGTTCGTTTCGAGTCTAGACTTAAAGGCGTCTCACTTTAGGCACATGCCTTTCTGAGCAGCCAAATTTGAAACAAGGTTACCTCCATTGGCTCCAAGCTTATGTTTTCAACTGCTACAAGTGACTTTACAAGTGTTAAAAGAATCAGAGCTCCATTGAAACTCATGGTTGACCGCAACCCTCAACCTTCGGCTTCCTCCAAAGGTCCGCAATCGGAAGCAACACAGCTCTCGCCATCATCCATGTATCCACGCTCGCAACCTGAGGCTGAACCATGCTGAACACGGCTCCGCAACAACGGTCAGTTCTCCATGAACTTGGAAAGTTCCTTTTGATTCCCCACGTTGAAAAAGCTTCGGTGATTGGTAATTTTCCGGTGTGAATCAGGCCTGCAACAGATGCTGGTGGGACTGGATTTCAACAGAATGATGGAGAATGTACAACTGATACAAAACAAATCCCACCATCACCCTGTCTGCTTTCATTTTAGCACACTTCACTAGCTACCACATCATTTGGTGGTGGCATTGTGATTAGTTTCGTTGCTGTTGTTGGCGCTCGGCCCGTCCTCGACATCCTTGAGATGTTCCTCCATTTCTTTCAACTTTTTCGTGCCGTTGTTCTTCACTTCAACCCGTAACTTGTGCAGCAACTGGCGTTCTACACCCATGCCCTTGCTCAACACATTGGCCGAATCCTCATACCGCAACTTCTTCTGCAACCAAATGTCAGCTTGGTCCATCATGGGGCCTTTCACTTGGTCCGCATACTCTCCACTCTCCTTCTCCAACTGCTTGATTTTTTCGTTCAACTTGGGATAGCTGAAAGCTTCCTTCTTGGCATCGTCCGTGTCATTTTCAGCATCAATATGCAGCAGATTTTCATGGAACCCCCGCTGTGTGTCCAGAGCCACCTGTCGTTGGTGCGGTCGTTCCGCCATGGCGATCCTCACCAGCAGCAGCCATGGCCAGCGAGGCGGCCGCAGCCGCCCGGTCATCTCATCGCCAGGATGGTTGGTTGCACAGAGGGGAAGGAACTGACCGAATCACTGAGCCCAAAAATGAATTCAACGCACATGAATCGCCATGCATAACCAGCAAACAAGTCTTAATGATGGATAAATATGGATAAATCATGATGAATCATGGAGATGCCTTGTTTCATCTGCCATCGTGTCCCATACATTCCTCCCAGCTTCCAATTGGTTCTGGGATTTCGACTGCATCGAAAGGAGCTGTTGCCGGTGTCGAAGGTGTTCTGGTACTCCTTCCTGAGGCATTAGTCGCGAAGCTGGGGGCTCTTCAGGGACATTCCTTCACCCCGGAGGAAATTGGTGACTGATGGGCCCCAGTGATAAATCGGGTCATAGGCCACTGTAATACCCCGGCAACATAGATCTGCCCTCTTGTCCATCTTTCTCAGCTCCAGACAAGTGCACACAAACGCCATGGGAGCCGCAGTTGCGGCCACCGCAATCTGAGGCCTTGTCAAAGTGGCACACCACCTGCCATTCTCCGGCCACTGCTCGGTGTCATTAGGCATCGTCATTTCAATGATGGATATTGATTGGAAAAACGAAAAATACTTGAAGTTATCCTCCCTTCCGAGTTTCAACAAAGACTGGGAGGTTCTAGATTTGGTGTCCGTGTCTGCCCGCAAACCTGCCCTACCCGAGCTGTCTGCAACTCTGATTCTGCACCTTTTTGCTGGCACATCATAAGACAATCACCGCATGCAAAAGACTATACAAATTGTGTTCGGCCCTACGGACCTCCACAAATCCCTCCTTTGCTGCATCGCAATGTCACAAGGGCAAGTTGACATGCCCAAAGAATACCAGCGCTGTTGTCTGATCAAATCACTTCATGGCCTTCATCGCCTTCATGGCCTTCATTGCTTTCATCGCTTTCATGGCCTTCATATTGATCCAATTTTCACCTATGGGTGAAGGATCGCTGACCCAAGGACCTCTGCAGAGCAGTGTCACACTCGAATCAGTCAACCCAAAACTCCTGAAAAACACAGCCCCATGCTGGAGAGCTGCATCATCACAAATTACCGCAAGTAGTCCAAGACAATCAGGAGGCAGGTGATCCAAACTGTGCAGCGTTGCAGCAGACAGCCGAGTCCGACACCGGGGCGAGTGGACAAGGGGTCAAGCAGGCCGCAGCAGCCCCGCACTGCAGGAAACCACCAAACTTGCAAACGTTGATCTCAGAGAGGAGGTGCAGGTTCGGTCCACAGTACATTGGGCTCCCTTGCAAGGCGCAAAGCCTTGCAAAATGCAAAGCAAAGGGAAGCCAACACCAAAAATGATATGAAGTTCCCAGACGCCAGTTCGGAAGTGTGAAGTTCAACGAGTCTCTGAACCAAGTCGATCAATCCACACCACACCACAAGTGCCCAGGAGGCCGAAAAAGGCCAGGACTGCGAAGCCATAGTGGTAAGTGGCGTCCCCAGCTGCACAGTCACGAAACAAAACATCCGAACGCCCTTCTGCCACAAGAAGGGGACTGTACACGATCATGGCCTTCATAGCTGGTGCCTCCTCCTCAACGGCCTTCTTCATCGACTTCATTGCTTTCATTGCTTTCATCGCCTTCATCGCCTTCATTGCCTTCATGGCCTTCATCGCCTTCATTGCCTTCATTGGTGCCATGAGTGCTACACGGATTGCAAATCACCAACGGCGAGAGACTTTTTCCAGGAGGCTTGAGCAGAGTGTTGAAGCAACCGCAGCGCAGGCTAGGGCCAGGGTATATCCCAACTTATGGAGGTTTTAATCCCATGGTTATTCCAGTTACAGTATACCCATCACCAACCCCTGCTGCACCGCCCATTGGATTTTCTGATTCATAGCATCCTGTCCTCCATCGTCCTTCGGCACGCCTCGCCATTGGTGGCAATGTCCCGCAGGGCTGAGCGCTCACAAATGCATTCAGCACCTTAGCCAAAGGTATCTGAGAACACCAACTTGATCATATCAAATCCCAAAACCAGCTTCAATGATTCAAAGATCAAGAGCTCTTGTGAATTGCAGTTTCATAATTACTCATCATACGAATCATACTCCACATTTCGGGAGTGTCATGGAAACTGAGATCGATTCAATTTCTGGCAGATAGACATGCTTCATCCCGCAGCATAGGATACCCCCCCTGCGTCCCACCCCACTCGAGCCGCGCGGCGTTGCGGCAGGTCCTTGCAAAGTCCTGCTGGGCCACACCTGACGCGGCTGTCGGCCAGCTATGGTGGCTATGGTTTCAAGCAATTGGTGAAAAATTGGACCCGCAAAATCATTCAAATGTTGAGAATTAAATGATATAACAACATATAACATAAATATACATAAATCATCCAAATGTGCTTTTTGTGTAGAAAGCTAGCCACAGGGCCAAGTCATGCTTTCCCCTGTCCGAAGGCTTGATCCCGGCTCGTTTTCCAACGCCCTTCCGAGTGCGAGGCACCCATAGAGGAGCAGGGCGCAATCATCGATGTCTTCACACCTAAGAAAGAAGTCATGGGTCATGACTGATGTCCCCATTGAACATCACCCAACCATTAGGATCCATTAGGTATATGGTCAATGCCATGGCTACTTTTTTAGGTGATGTCCAATATACCCAAAATGGGACAGTTACCAACCCCTGGAAGTTACCATCCTGGATTTGCCTGAAAAATAGATAAAAATAGGCTATCCCCCAATGCATTGGTTCATTTGGTTCATGATCATTGTCCATCTCAACATTGCTCGGGGGTGTCCCGGCTGTTTCCGACAAACCCATCTGTTGAAGATATCTAAGTCCAAAAAATTCGGATGAAACCCCAAATCACGGTAAGTATATAGTATATAATGTAAGTTCAATAGGGAAAATGCTATTCTCAACCATCAAATTTGGGCTACAATCCCGCACAAAAAGTGGGCATCAGACCAAGGTTTTGCCGGCCACTCAGCGTCGTTCGAGCAAGTCATGTTCACCTGCCGATTGGCCAAGCGCTTCAACGTGAAACTCGTGTTTTCTGACACGGAAAAGTGTCACGCATCCTTGCAGCTCCGCATCCCTTGGTGCATATTTGATCATATTTGTGCTGTTCAGGCTGTTCAAGTAGTCTTCGACGCAATGAACTGACACCCAGTGGAAACAACGAAAATCGCTTCAAAACGCAATTCACAGGATGTGATTCACAGTCCCACTTCAGTGGAGAAGAAACTCACTGAACCTCGGTGCAAAAGTTTCTGGGTGACTGGGACACTAAAGTGAGAAGCAATGGCACTGTAGAATAGAGAACTCTAATAGAGAACAAAATATGGAGCATAAAACTAGGGCAATACCTCACTGAACCTGCTATCCATCGCAGCCGCAACAGGGCGCTCCAACCCCCATCCATCGCACCGTCGGCTTGCCATCCACTGCATAGCCCCTGTCACAGGTCAGAACCTGCCACGGGACGGGCGCAGCGGGCGCAGCGGGCGCAGCGCAGTGCCTCACCCAGCACTGGGCTCAACTGGGCTCCCGGACGTAGACCCCTCCAGGCCTCAGGGAACCTTCCCAGTGGCCATGTTTGTCCTGGCGCCCCCAAAAGAGGTCACCCGGCTGGAGAAATGCGACTTTTGAGTCGATGGGGATTGAAGGTAAGTGGCAAGGTTCCAGCATGGAAGTGGAGGGAATGTGCCAAAATAACAGTAGAATAAAACACATATAGTCAACATCTAGTCTGATATACATGCAATTCATTGGCACCAACTTGTCCTTTATGTTTTGCGCTGCCAACAATTAACAACACATGAGTTGTTTCATTCAGGAAGAAACCCAAGGCACTGTGCCCTGTGCCTACCTCTGAAAACTCATCAACTACATGTACAGCTATATCAGCTACCAACTGGCCATGGGTATGAGGATAGCCGTAGCTGATATTAATCACTACTGGGTAATGATTTAAATTCTGTTGATAGCTATATGAATCTAAGTCTATATAATAATCATGGTAATAACAAAAAATAATGATGACAATAGAAACAACAATCATATACAATAATAGTAATATAATACAATTGGTAAAGATTCAACTGTATTTAATTACCTACTGTGTATCATATACCTTGCCATAAGGCCCCATGTAAGATTCGCCACTGGGCTACCCCCACAGTTAACACTTCGCATCTCTTCTCCTGCGGCTCAATGACCGCTGGTTAAAACCTTTTTTTTTCCGGCCATGGTCGCTAAAGCGTCCGTGGGCCGGCACTGCGACAGCTTAAAATTGTCGTGCGAGAGCCATTTGGTGGATTCGTCTGTTTTGCTCGTCCGTGTTTAAATAGTCCGTCCATCCGTTCGTAAGTTTGTTCCAAATATGTTTATGGGTGAAGTGGCGCCATTGTTGCCTAGGCGCTCCTACCCTCCTTTTACCAATCAGATATGCGTTTGCTGATTGAGGAGAATAAACTACTTGTCTCATTGGGTCCGAGTCTGTTGCTCTCAAAAGGTGTCCAGATAGTTTAACTCGTTTGTCCAAAAGAAGTTCGGAGAAAAGTTTCACTTCGTGCCCAGCTTTTTCGGAAGCCATTCTGAGTACAAATTCGTTGGTGTTTCTTCTGTTAACAAATGTGGGCTCTAGATTTAATATAGATCTAAGCCCTCGAAGTTGAAACGCGTTAATCTTGTTTAGCATTGCCTGTGTCAAGTGCACGGTTTCAAGACCATAAATCATTTTGTTTTGAATGACAGCCTGATAAACGCGTAGTCTCCAACCAACAGTGCAATTGGATGCTTTCCAAAAAGGTTTTAATTTGGTCCAAGCAGCCATCGTCTGCTGCATTCTGTATCCGATTTCCTGTCTAGCGCCAAAAACCTGATCATGTCATTTTCCATTTCATCCAAACTAGCGCCAAAAAATGGCGGTCATGCTGACATTATTGACATTGCAGGCAAATCCTCTGAACCCGAAGTTGCACACCCCGCAGGCCTGTTCTTTTCCCTCCTCACTGGTCTTGTTGTGCGTGCGATTCGTCTGAGGTGGCCAGGACATGAAATTCAGGAAATTCATGCAGGTTTCATTTTCGTGGTGAAAAATATTGAAAAATGCTTGGCCAACTCATACGAAAAGGGAGAAGTCAGTGAGACAGTTGCATCCAAGACCTTGGATGACCCAGCCTGGACATCTGGCGCTCCTACCCAGGTTGACAGGGCAGCTTCCTCTTCAAAGAGCTGAGTTCCACTGCACTTTACGTCTTTAACACCATGCTGCATGCCATGGTTCACTCCCGTTCTGTACCAAGGGTACACCCAACCTGTGGAAGAAGATGGCAACACCTGCGGAGTCAACATCACTAGTGGGGTCACTGAGAAGCACCATTACGGGAACCATGAGGGGAATCACTCTTGGGGAAACATCAACTCAACCATTAGGCGAATCACGGTTAGATCAAGCATCAATTCAGGTGTGTTTCTGAACATCCCATCAAAAGGAAACATGATTGCCAACCCTGATCCGAGGACACCGCACCGGCCTGCCCAATTTGCAGGAGACAGATGCAGAAGAAACACCTCGCTGCGGTCAATGATATTTCTGGCAAGTGCCCTTTTTCTATACTGGGATAGTGATCTCAAGCATAGCTACAGGATGGTACAGGACCAACTCAAATCGCAAAAAAAAACGATTTGAGTCTCCACCGGCGCCTACTCATCGAAAGCGGCGCATGGCCCGCGAAATGTCCGCAGTCGGACTGGAGGGATCCTCCTTGTTGTGGAAGGAACTCGATGCTGAAGGTGACCAGCGAATTATTTCAAGGAAAAGACTTGGACCCAAATCTGGTTTGGTGCTGTGGGAACTGCTGTGGGAACTGGGCGTTTCCACAACATTGTGGATGTGTTCAGTACAAGTTGCATCTGGGGAGGGTCATGGGTAAAGTGCGGAAGAGGTGTCTAACATCACATCATCAAGTCTTCTCAGGGCTCTCGATCTCCCATAAAATTCCATTGCTCTTTTAGTCAGGGACGGTGACCTCCGTTTAACGTCTGAAAACGCGATCGGCGCGATCACCAGCTGATGGAGCAGTCATGGGGCAGTCATGGCAGTCGTGGGGGATCCACAAGTCATAATGGCTTTCAATACTCAGTCATGCTCGAATGATTTGGATGACTGGGATGATTTGGGGCACCTCCATTTGAGTAACCCCCCATACATATAGCATCATATAGCAATCAAAGCGTGTATCGCCCAAGAATGCAATCAGTCCGGCTTCTTCTTGCCAGACTGGAAAAAGCAACAAAAAAGTCACAAGATCCCTCTGAAGATCTCCAGGACTTTCAAAATGCTTCAGACATTGTTGCGACTTGCCGAGTTGCCCGGACCCTTTTCTGTCCCTGTCCCTCGGCTCAACGCATCGGCGCCGTCACTGCCAGCAGAAAATCGCATCGGTCAGATTGATGCCATAGTTTCAACAGTGGGATCCCAAGGTTGGCTCCCAAGGGGATCCGCGAAAACTGCATTAAAAAATTGCCAGTTTTGGCCTCAGCAATATCAGTTGATCATAAAAAGTTGACGATCTCTTCTTGGTTCGTGAAGGTGCATCAGACTGCCAAATCAAGCATTCTGATCCATGGTGTTTAAGAGCAGCGAAACTCCCAAAAACCACGGCAACAATCACCTAGATCTTTCAGCCCAGAATGTTAGCGATAGCTCATCTATCCGGAAGCAAGAATGAGGCGCATGAGGGTTGTGAGGGTTGACAAGACACATACGTAGACGAATTCTTAGCAAGTCAATCAATCATGTCAAACTGGAACAAGGCTGCAGTCGTCATTGCAGTCCGCGCCTCAGGGCCACTTGATTGGCTCGTTGGGGGAGCGAATCACGCAATGCGGCTTTGGACCATGCGCCTTCCAGAAGTCCTGCTGCTGAATTTGCCGAATCCTGAAAAATGCAGCATCACTATTAATAGTTATTAATGGATGATAGATGATTTATAGATGATTTTACACATGAAAAATGGTGAATTCCATTGTCATATTGTTGTCTCATTTCTCATGTTTCCACTGCTTTTTGCCAGTATTATCGTCATTTGTCCGAGACGTGACAAAAACCTATCGCCCTCTTGGGCACCCCATCGCCTCTGGCAGCTTGGGAGCATGGGACTCCAAACCCCTTGGGCACCAGCTCTCAAAGGGAGGCAGAGAAACCTCGCCAAATCGCAGTGTATCAGTCAATAAGTTTCAGATCCGCGGTCCGCGGTGACCGCTGATTTTCAGTGGATGGGATCGTCCAGAGTCCAGACGCAAAAGGTCATTCAGTGGAGCAGTATTTTGTCCATCGCGGCCTTCCCAATTCTTTCTGGCAGCCCAAAATAAGTTGCATGGGCTGAAAGCTATCAGAATAATACCTGGAAACTGGCCCTATGCCCCAGCCTGCTGTGGCTGCGCTGAGCAGTAGGGCCGAGCACCTCACGCTGTCCGACCCGGGGATCTTCAGTTTTGACATGTGTTGACCCTCTTTGTCATGCGGTGTCTGTGTCATACCTGAACCCTGAGAGTCCACTTCCTTCCATTCCAGGCATCAAACCCAAGATGGGCCTGGCTTGGCCAAGTACTGCTGGTGATAGTCTTCTCCATAGTAAAAGACCTTGCGGAGCTGAGCAATGTGAAAAACGGGAAGAAACAGGTCTGATGTTGGAAAGCAACAATAAACCATCCCCAATTTTACCATAAATGGGTGCTATCAACCATCAAAATATGGGAGGTAATGATTGCTTTGCTAACATTATAGTTGGAATCTGGGTCAAGCATGTTACGATATGCTACAATGATGAAAGACCCACCAAGCAATACTTTGCCCGAGGAAAGTCTGGAACATTCAAGACTGCTTACTATAACTCACGTGCATTTGTTCTGCAACATGCTCAGAGTCCAAGAATCAGCTACAAGCCAAGACGCCGGTATTTTCAAATGTGTTGGAAGTAAAGCCCTATACCATCCAATACCCTTCCCTCCTACAAAATTCTACAAACCCTCTCCATCTTAGAGCACCTCATCCCATCTCCCATCACATCCTACCTCCGGAAAATCCTGGACTGCGCGAATCTCCGTGGTGATCTTCCCCCGTCCTTTGCCCGTAGCCTGCAGCGCCTTCTCGTAAGCAGCACAGCTAGACTCGTAGAGCTGCTTCTGCTCCTCGTCAAAATAGTACAAGGCGCTGCGGTACTGGGTGCCCCGGTCGTTGCCCTGGCCCATGCCTGGAGATATGGGGCAAGGTGATTGCCGCAATGGAGCTAATCAGCTAATGGATATATGGACGATTTATGGGTCCGAGAATCGGGGCATTCCCTCCAAAATTGACATTTCATTCATGAGGAGTTTGATGATTGGCCATTGAAACTTCCTAAGTCGTGCCTTGGGTGGGATCGTGTGCCTCCCAAAACCACCGCAGAATATCCACCAGGGAGATCTTCTCAGGGTCATAGACCACCTGAACAGCCTCTGTGTGCCCGGTGCGACCAGAGCACGCTTCCTGGCGGGATGAACAAATTAGGAATTGGTTGGACTACCCTCTGGTAAACATACAAAAAACTATGGAAAATCACCATGTTTAATGGGAAAACTCACTATTTCTATGGCCATTTTCAATAGCTATGTTAAATTACCAGAGGGTAACTGTTGATCACCCATAGTTTGATTCAAGAGGAAAAACATGTGAAACCACCAAAGAAGTAAAACACTATGGGCTGAAACTCTGTCCTCATAGGTAGGGTTAGGAGTGTAGCCACCCGCATACCCCACAGCGGTTGAGAAGATTCCCCCACCGGGCAAGCGCCAAATACCCTTCTCGCTCCCCCAGAAGCAGCCATTGGCGAAGATGCAAACCTTCAATCCTTTGGGCCATGGGCCTTTCCTGAGGACAGGGATCCAGTGGTGCCGGCTGGCACCAAATGTGAAGCCACAAGCATTGGCATTGCAGGTCTGGTTATCTCTAGTTGATGCCAAATTAATTCTCTCAACCCATCATCGGACAGGATTCGCCAACAGGAGGCAAACCGCTGTTCCAAACCCTGCTGTAGATCGGTTCTTCTGATTCATGGATCAGGACAACTAACTATGCGTAATAAATGGTTAAATGGATGGTTACATAATATACTCTGCATTGACATCATTTAGAACCTGCAACCTCCCATGATGTAGGGGAACCCCAAGTAACACCAGTCCATCGTCGAAAGCCAAGTCAACCAGGCACTATGCAGGCTTCAGGCTTCAGCCCGTTTTGCATAGGATGGCTGTTTAAAATCAGCATAGATCAGCTGATTTCCAATATGGCACCATCAAAAATAGGTTGCAAGATGTTGCAAGTCTGTTTGGTGACCTCACCATTCCAGTAAATACAGCATGTGTCATCGGTGTTCGGTCATTATAATTTATACAACTTCTAATTACATAACTTATATATATATATACATATATATATACGTATAATAAATATACGTACGTATACTTATATCTAGTGTTTTGATCACCTCCCCATTGCGTTACCCACCAGAAAGCCCCTATTTACTTCTTGGCTGAGCATCATGGGATTCTTCAAGACATAATGCCTTTCGTCCACTTCCATCACCTCGCTGCGACCCTTCAAGGCATCCTCAGCCTTCACCATCTCCGACTTCTTGTCGGGCATGCCGTGCATCTGAATCTTCATCAGGACCTATTGAAGGGGAAACTGACAGGAAGTGAAAGCATCTGGAAATCATGTGCGAATACCTGGCTACAGACGCACTCTGGAAAACCAACAACCTCAAAAGATCAACCCTTGTGAAGAGTCATGACCAATGTAGAAAATCCTTGCTTTCTGTGGGCAGATGGGTGGATGCATGGGCAGGTGCCAAAGGTGCTAAAGAGGGAGCCGCACCTGCAGGATTTGTTGGGGATTGTTCTCATCAATGGCCATTCCAGCAGACTTCAGTTGCTTCACCAGCTCTTGAACTTCTTCTGGAAAGCGCTCCATGGCACCGATGAACAAAGGCAGCTTCAAATTTTCGCAAACAACTCAGCTACTGGTAGGATGAGTGGTTCAAAATCACATGGAACAGTTGACTTGCTGGTTTCTGGCGTTGGGTGATTCAACTGGAGCTGCATGTGGTCCTTTTTGTTGCTTCTTAGCCAGCTCAAGAGATCCTGAACCGTCCCGAGTTCATGGTGAATGGGTGACCATCAGTATCCTTTACCAAGACCTGCTGGCAGCATTCTGGAACTTACCGGCTGCATTCTTCTTAAGTGAACTCAAGTGCATCATTCCTCCGTTGCCAACAACGTAGTTTCTGTTGGTACTCCTACATCAAAACGCCCGGGACCGAAACTCTGAAAGTCCTGTAGAGAGATTCATCAACTCAGGAACTGGTTGGTAAATAGGTATCCTATGGTATCCCTATAAAATCCCGTGGGTCCCATGTCCCAATAGACCAGCCTACCCATGGCACCATCCTGGCCGCGATTTTCCGCCGCTTCGCGCCGTGGCCATCGGAGTCATCGGAGCTTCGGCACCTCTTAGAGCAGTGCCACATCCTGGCCGACCCAGGGACGGTTGGCGTAGGATCCATGGTGCTGGTATGCTAACATAAAGGGGGTGTATTGATGGTAAATGTTACCATATATACCAGCACCATGGATCCTATGGGTTAAGGAATCATCACAAAATCCCGGAAAATCACAAGGAGATCATCATAAACGAGATATAACAATCCATGAAACACGTCTGGAGAGCAAATCAGGGTGTTACGCACGCTACGAAAAAGGAACACTGAAATAGGGGAATCTTGAAAAGACACATCACAAAACGTCACAAAACCCTTCTTGGGAGGCCAAGTTGTTTGTTTGTCTGTGTGTGTGTGTGTGTCGGTTGATCTGGAGTATGACAGTTTGTTCTATCTCTAAACTCTAAACCTCAAAGACTTCAAGAAATTGAGAGGGACTGTCTTTAATCGCTTGGCTTAGGTTTCCAATGAAGAATACCTCACCAGAAAACTCATTGCTCAACTGATGTCAAGGGCACCAATCAGACGTTCCCAAAGCACCTAAGCACCGCAAAAAACACTTGCAACTGAGTCTACATTTGAATATTCTTCTCAAGATACAATCCCAAATAAACAAACATGGAAAGGCCATTGGAATACATAGGTCGGAAAACCGTGGAAAACATCGCTTTTTGGGGTCACTTTGACTTGTGGCCTTCAGTACATTCCTTCCACTGCCGCTCCTCTCCGCGATGCTCATGTTGGAGGACAGCGAATAGGCCGCGGGCCCAGCGTTCGAGAGTGCCTTTCAAAAGTGGTCAACTGAAAAGGCAGATCAAACAAAGCAACAAAGCAAAGCCACCTCAGTATAATCATATCAATAATCATCATCTTCTTCGTCGTCGTCGTCATCGTCGTCGTCGTCGTCATCAACAACAACAACAACAACAACAACAACAACAACAACAACAACATCCTCATCATCCACAGCTACGCCATGCCCACCTCTCGGTTGCTGCAGCGCAAGATCTCATCGGCAAAGCGCACTCCTGGGGCTTCAAATCGACCCAAAAAATGGTCGATCGACCCCAAAAACGGGGACATCTCGGAATCTCGGACCTCAAAGAATCCCACCAATCAGATCAGGTCAATTTTTCCATGGGAGTCTCTGTATATAAGGTGTGTTCGATTGGTGAACTAACTTTTGGTCTGCAAAATGTCGCCAGTCTCCCAGAGAGAATTGGTGGCTTGACGAAAAAGCGCTCCTTCCAATAGAGCTTGGTTGCCACCTTCATAGATCCTGCTGAAGCCAAAGTCCCTCCTTAGGGGGCTGTGTCGTGAGTTCACACTATGGATCTAATTTGATCCAGTTATATATATATATATATGGAGCCTATGCTCATTGAGTCATTTCTACTTAGCATCCCTAGTTTGGGGGGAATATATGGGAATATAAGCTTGACGCACTTGATTCAATCACCGTTTTCCGTGGTACTGTACGCACTGTATTTTCAAGTCTGCAAGACTCTCTCTTCAAAGAAAAGCGTTGATATCTTCGATATCAAGCCCGCTTGAAAGTTTTGCATGTCACCTATTTCCAAGGCTGAACTCCTGACCAAGCCATTTTAGGGTGAAGCTGAACAAATATCAATGCTACTTTCGATTCATAACGATTCAGCTGATCCCTTACGCACTTCACCGTTCCCTTCACTGGACCATGGGCTCGCTGGGCTACCAGGCTCCCTGCGAAAGCCACGCCTTGCATCGCCCAGCAAAAAGATCCTCGACAGGTCAGCTGCTGGTCCTGGGTGAATCTGCTGTCCACTTGGACATGGCTAACATAGGACATCTTCAAACCTAAAAATGGATTGGTTTAAGGAAACCTCGAAACCGGAAACCAGCTGGCTGTACTTTTCCAATGAAAAAAAACAAGCGGGGTCCTGTAAAATTGTCCCATATAAACCAATCCATTGATACTTGGACATGGACATTGTGACAGTCCTGACATGCTTGATGAGAGACTATTCCACTATCCAGTCTTGGTCAATAGTTGGCTAATGGGAATCCCAAGAGGTCCCAAGAGGTCCCAAGGGTCCTGCAACACAGCTTTGCCGCACAGTGGACCGAAGCCCATCGGCTGCCACCAAGAGGTCAAATGGACCCTGGTTCGGCTCATGGTGCCATGGATGTGTTGCCATGGTGGAAATGTCTGGTTTTTTTCGTCAGGCCCGAGAAGGACTGGCGAAGTTGCCAAGCGGCTTTGCCGAACAAAAATTAGGATGGATGTGTTGCCATGGATGTGTTGCCATGGTGAAAATGTCTGGTTTTTTTCGTCAGGCCCGAGAAGGACTGGCGAAGTTGCCAAGCGGCTTTGCCTGAAAATTAGGGGGACCCTTAAATGTGATGTCTCCATGGCACCATGGGGTGCCTTAAATTCACTCAGAAAACTGCCATGGGTATAGATGGGTATAGCGGCATAGCCCATTTTCAAAACCCCTCAGAATCCCCATCCCTTCAGTGACCTCCCAGCAGGAATCCACTACGCAGAAGAGGCGTTGGTCATCTTGCCGAAGGCCTAGAGCCCCAGTGATCCCTGGGACCGAAAGACATCGAAAGACCATCCCATCTTGTTGGTATCCGATGTTCAACCATACTGTTTAGTACACTGTTAGTAGATGTTAGTAGACTGTTTTCTACACCATTGTCCTTGTTCGATACGGTTTTGTACACCATTGTCCATTGTCTTGGGAAACAATTGGAAACCTTTGAACAAGGACTCTGAGACGAACAAGAAAACCCCACCACCACTAGCGCAGCACCAGGTCATTGCCATTGTATCAATCTATCATCATATGAACTATATATGATATAGAATTAACTGTAATTATATCATTTACGTAATCTATCTATCTGACGAAGCACTTCCCCAGCTTTTTCGGCCTGTCAGAGCCTTCCCGAAGCGCAGCACTCCTTCCGGTAGCCGATTCGCCAACCAGCGGAGCAGCTGGATCCTTTCCACCTCGAATAAACCCACAGAAACCGCTAGTTGTTGATCTTCCCTCAGCCTCAGTTTTGGATTCTGCTTGCTTCATATGGCTTTGTCTGACATTTTATACTGACATTAAATATCATTAGCTTCAGAAATCAGCAGTTCCGAATATGAAAAAGTGTGATATATTTGTCTCCGGTGATCCACCTCCTCGAGTTTCTGTCCATCTCGGGTCAAGAAACCCAGGCACTTCAACGCCTGCAAGCCGCTCAGTGTCAAGTTCGATTGTTCCTGACATTGACATCCTGTGGCATGGCCTGAGCTGGCAAATCCTCTGGGAAAAAAATGGAAAAAATGATCTGTGAGTCTTTTGAGTCGAAAAGATACTGAGGTCATTCGAGTCATTCCCTATGATGTGTCATGGGCATTCATGGGCATCGCTGGCCCAGATCCGAAGAAGCGCCGTGAATCGTCAGCACCTCCTCTCCGGGCGGCTTCAATCGAAGGTGTTGCAAAGGGCCCGAGTCCTGCTAAGATGCTGCTGAAAAACCAACAATTGAGACTCAGGAAATGCCAGGTGCATGTGATTATCTCACCAGTTTCCAACTTGAAAACCTGTGTGCCTGCAATGGCCTGCAACTGTAAAACGGGTAAATCACAAACGACACATGTCTACACAGTATACGCAGTCGTCACTATGCATGTGCTCCCAACAAATCACAGGCAGTGGTTGCGATCCACTGTTGGTTGATGATAAGTTCGGGGATTATACTACCCCTTATAATATTGTCATTGGATTGGTGGGAATTTTTTTTAACCGGAAAGCCCCAAAGTAAAATGGAAAAAAAAAAACATTGTTTCCGGTGTCGATTTTTTAAACCAATCTAACCAATCCAACCAATGTTCCCGCAAAAAGCATGGTGTTCCATGGTGTTTGCCCGTAAACCAATCCAATGATATGGCAGTGTGTCAAAACCATAGGAAACCCCCTTCTGTTCACATCAAAATAGCTGGGATTTATGGATTAGTTCATCCCATTAAAAATGGTATAAAAATAGGTATTGATCCATAGCCATATCATGTTATTACCATGGTTTTTCCATGGTTTTTTCATGGTTTTTCCATGGTTTTTCCATGGTTTTTCCGGTAAACCACTCCAATGATATTGAGGATTCCAATCATCCAATAGCCATCCATAGCCATCCGTTGCCGCAGCTCCCGTCCAGCTCAGGGCATCTCTCAAAGACCACCACCCTATGGCGAACGCGAGCGAAAACCCCAGGTGGGATCATCCCACGGACGGACAAGACAGGTGTCATTAATTCCATAATATATATAATATAATATATATATATAGTACTATATATATATAGTACTATATAATATTGATGTATATATGATGATATATATGATATATGATTATATATATATATTATATATATATATATGTACACGTATTATATGTGATTATGTGTGTGTTTATATATGCATCTTCAAGTTCACATTTATGTATTAAATTGTATTAATATCTTCTTAGTGTGAACTCCCCTCATGATCCAACAAAGAAAAAAATGCTGCTTCCGCCTTGCGCGCTGGACATCCTCCTCATGGCAACGGAACGGGACATCCGTTGCTTCACTATGCGATTCCGTTGCCGGTGCTGATGGCATTAGACTCTGCAAAAGTGGTAGTTATACGACATTAGTATATCATAGTTTATCAGCACCAGTCATAGTCAGACTTTTTGCACTATGGTGTATAGTCATGTATATCAAAAGCAGCAGCCCACGTTCCTTGAAGATGGAGGCCGCAAAGGATAAACCGGCCAAACCTCCTCCAATCACCGCAATGTCCATAGAATTCCAGCAGTGCAAGTCCGGGGAAAAACGATGAAAACTTCAAGAACTGTCTGTGAATGTGTAGCTGGGTGGATGGAGTCCAAACCTTTACGATGCACACCAGGTTCAAATGTCTATCTCAAATAGCCATGTTCTCCTGCCAGAACTAGAGTCGCCACAACCTTGCTAGCTACGCCTCTTTGTTGTTCATATGCTTGAATGCAATTATCTTCCTTTGCTGCTGTGGCTATAACTATAACCCCCTCCATTGCGCGTGGCTGCGGCAGCTCCAAAACGGAGAAATTCACCCATCAAATGGCTGTGGCTGCACAGGATCAAAATCCATCAAGGCTTATCAACGCATATCAACACGTTGCTTGCACCGCACCGGCCACGCAATATTTTTAAAGCATCATTGCTTCATGTTGCTTCCACGCTCAGCGCACTTGACAAGGGATTGCGCTGGCGTTGATGCCACAAGAGATGAGAACGCACAAGGCGCTGTAGAGTCCTTCTGACTCAGCAAAATTGAAGCCTGGCAATTGGCAATGCCTGTCAGTGTGCCTATACAATGTGCCAGCTAGCTTCGAAAAGGATGTCGTTCATGCATGTCAAATTTAAAACCAAATTTGTGCCCTCTTACACGGTAAGAAGATGCAGACTATGCTCCAACTTGATCTCACTCTCTCGACTCTGATCTCACTCTGATCTCACTTCTTCACCACTGGCAGCTTGGCTTTGCCTTGCAGAAGGGTAGGACCAGCACCAGCCACACCCCTCTCAAGATCATCCACTGCTGCAGCAGGAGCACCCTCATACACAGTGCCAGGCTCCAAGTTACTACCCTTCCAACTGAGACTTCCTGGACGCAACACGGCACCATCTCCAGCATGACACATTGCCACACTGGCACCTGACATGATGGTCACCCGGTTGCCTACAGAGTAGTGGGTGAACTTCAAGCGAAAGTCTTCGAAGGAATGACATCTCACCTGTCCATCATAGTCCACGGTCACATCATCACCGATTTCCGTGAACGGAGCATCCACCAGCACCAGCTCGTTCATGCAGAAGAAGCGCTTGCCTACACGTGCTCCAAGTAGTCGCAAGACAGGAGCTTGCCAGCTGGTGCCAGCCGTTTGGAACGGCAGTTTGAAGACTCGTTGCTGGGCTGTCAGTGCTGTGAACCAACGTGTGACTGTCGTGGAGTAGTACGCATTGCTGTGGGGAGTGGATCCATGGAACAACAGGTTGCCCAGGACAACTGAGAAGAGGTACCAAGATACCAGGGCAAATGCGATGTACACCAAGAGCAGTGCGAAAATCTCCCAAGTGGCAGTGATCATCGGAAACAGGAGACGGCTGGTCAGCATGGCACAAGCCGTGACACTTCCTTGCACACCACGGTAGAGGAAGACATCCAAGATGCTGGTGCTAAAATGATGCCAGAAACGTGCCAAGCAGCTGGCAGGTTCGGGACCCTGATTCACTTTGCCTGGCAAAGAGGTGACATCCAAGACTGCTTACAAACATGCAAAAACATGTAAAAATGATGCAAATTCACGTAGCCTTCACTCTAATAAACCCAATTTTTGGAAAAACATAATAAACCCGATTTTTGGAAAAACATGCATGTCGAAGAATGCTTTGAAGTCCATCAAGCACACATAAATTCACCTACTCACACTCGAAGGGATCGGAAATTGCATGAAACTTCCGTTGTCCAGACATTTTTCCCCCGAATTCGCTTTCCCATCTCTACCCGCACCACGCCTGCAGCCTGATTGCTCAGTCGACGGAACTTCATGGCAGGATTGCCAAAGTAGCCTTGGTTGGGCTGGGTAGTAGCTTTTGTTCCATTCTAAAGCAACTGCTTGTCTATATTGTGTATGGTATTTTGCATATATTGTATCCATTTACATCAGATTTGAAGATAAAGATTTGATTTAGAGACGTAAACTCAATAATTGATACGTTCGGGGCCTTGCCACTAGGAATGAGTGTACTTGTCACTCGCATGGATCTACATTTGTGAAAGAGATTGTGTCCACTGAAAAGAAGACATGTCTGCACACATCCATTCGCACTCATGGACTTGTGCATTTGCTGATCCGCCAAGCAACTCATGTTGGGCTCAGTGGGCCTCTTCGGAAGCCAAGTACCGACACCGCAGAAGCTGCCCTCGGGCAGACCCTCCGGCAAGTGGTTGTGATTTCCAAGGAAGGTGTGATCACCTTAGACTTGCAAGATCCGATGAAGTCTTCCCAAATATGCAAAGGCTGGTGTGCTGAAGTGAATGTGATGAAACTACGAAAAAAATGGAGAAATAGTCGCTTAAAACCTCGGCTGAGGGGCTCATGTAGGTGATGCAAGGCACGTTAAACTTTCCCTGGTCCACATCCACGCTGGTCAGGATGTTGCCTGTCGCAAAAAAGCAACCTTTGCCCACCACCAACGTCTCAGGAAGCGTCACCTGCAGGGAGCAAACAAGAAAACTTCCGAATTACAAAATGTGTTCCTCATCTTTGTGGCTTCAGGACTGTGTGAGTGTGAATGCGTGTGGACACTTTGAAAAAAAACTGAAGGAATATGAATATGGAGTCGTTGACTACATCTACAGCTTCAGGCTTGCTACTGCGGGTGGAAACGAAATCATGTTACTCCAAGTTCCTCTTCAAAATCCCGAACCTGCAAGCCCATGGCACATCCGTGTCCAAAGGTGGCACCACACATCCGAATAAACGCAGGCACAATGGAAGCATCCGCCAGCATTTCTGAAGCCTGCAGCACCATGGACATCTTCAAGGCTGCAATTTGTGCCCTGATGCTGAGCAACGAATATGAGCAAGGCGGCTTCACTTTCGGCAGGACCCGGCAGAGTACGGCGGTTCCCCCAAGCTGTAGCACCTCAAAATAGGTTTCACAGTGGCTTTCGAGACGCTGCACAAATGCTCTGCATATATCATTAAATTATGTCATGCTCTTTGAAAAGAAACTATCCGAGTAATTCAATGTAAAAAATCATATCTATTGTTTCGGCCCAAACAAAATACTCTCGTCGTGCTTATCATTCAAACAATTCAATTCTCAGTGAAGCATGCCATGCCAAAGCCATTGCTGCTCGGCAAGAATTCGAGGAAACCAAAGTGACATCTTCCAACTGAGCACTGCACCGTGTTCAACATGGAAACTCCAAAGGCAATGAGTGGAATCCATTTGAGCTGGTCCAACAGTTCGGTGGGCAGCACGTCCACATGTTCCGGATACATGTGCTTTTCTTTCACAACCTCCTGATGATCCCAAGGATACAAACTCAGCAGTTGGAAAGCAATGACTCCGATGAAGGGCATCAAAGCTTTGGGGATGAGCAGCATCCAATATCCCATGGCAAACCAGGCAGCACGAGTTCGGAAGCTGCGAACTTCTGCAGCTTCCGGCAACCGACTCAAGTCTTTCGGGCCCACCACTTGTGCTGGAACGCCACAAACTCGGCTGTCCACCACCATGTCGGAAGAAACAGCTGACAAGGGCTCCGCATAGCCAGCAGGAGCAATCTCA